CAACCCTGTAGGTACAGCTGCTGATTGCTATTTATAAAACCACTCCCATACAGATTCATTCTGAGCATGGACACTGACAAACCATTTCTTCAGAATAACAAAAGGTAGGAATCTGCAACACAGTTTGTTTAATTCCTTGCAGAGTACATAGATCATCCAGAGAGGATTTTTTTTTCAACAAATGTGGAGTTACTCTTAAACTCGAAAATTTGGATAATTATAATTGTTCACTTTTGGCCATACAGGCAGGAGTCCACAAACTTTTGGTCTTTGGTCCTATACTTTGACACAAGACTCACAAACCAATGGGTCACATTCTTACCTTGATTCAATGTCTGATAGGGAAATGTCACTCAAATTGACATCAGAGTCAACATCTCTTCCAAGTTGTTTCAACTTTTCTTTTATTTCTTCCTGAACTATAGTCTGGAGCTCAGACAAACATACCTTTACCTGAGAACAGAAGGCAGTCAAAGGATAGAAATTCCTAAACAACATAGATGATAAAACTCTGGGTCCAGACAAAGACCATTCACATCAGAAAAGACAGGGTGGCTCAGCAAGAGGCACTGAACTCAAAAAAGTACGATGCTTGCAAAACCCCATTAAACTAAGCGCTCACCTTGGTGCTATCAGGATCACAATAGTCCAGCAGGGTGTCACAGAAGTGATGTCCCATCGATTTCAGGTCATTTGTTGTAAAATGAGTGCCTTTGCGGTCCCCTTTATTTTCAGGTAAACAAAATGTATATTTATGGTCTTTTAAAGAGCATTATAGTGTTCAAATTTTGATAAATGTGGTATGACACAGAGTAGTATTGGCTACTGTCATAGAGAGAGTTTAATGTTGACCACTGTGCCAAGAGTAGAGTAGTACTGTACCCTGTGCTAGAAGGAAAAATAGTACAGATCACTGAGATAGAAGACAATGAAGTACAGATCACTGAGATAGAAGACAATGAAGTACAGATCACTGAGATAGAAGACAATGAAGTATTGACCACTCTGATCACTGGCAGGGTAGTGCTGACTGCAATTACTGAGAACGAATAGTTCTGACTACTTTGAAATTACTGTAATACTGATCACATTGGTAGGGGCAGGGTAGCACTGATCAATGCAATAGGATCACAGGATTACTGGTCACGGTCATAAAGGCAGCAATAATAGCCACTATGGAAGAAGGCAGTGATGTATTGAGGAATGTAGTAGGTTGGAGAGTAGTACTGACTACTGTGGTAGATGGCAAAGTAAAACTGCCCTGTTCAAGACAAACAGGACAGCTAACTCTATATAGTCAATCTGCTCATAGACAAGTAATGCGGAGTATACACACATAGATTATTTCTGTTCACCCTGCAGGCTGTGTGGAAATAATCAGTCAGATTTGCTATCCACTCTATACAGCACAGAAGGAGGAATTTCCTGCTGTGGCTATTGTATTCTGAAAGCCACAGCCAGTGTCTGTCCAAATAGCCAAACTCTGGCTGCATTCAATTTGATGCAGCTGCTGTTTGGCTGCCAATTTTTCACCTGGCTACTTCAATTTTTCAATTGAAGGATGCAAGGTGGGAGGTGGCTAAGAGAGCCACCCATGTAGCAAATTTTGGTCAATTGCATAGAGTAGGGCTAACCTCTGTGGTGGAGCAGAGTAATAATGAACATTACATTGGGAGGCAGAGTAATACTGAACATTGCAGTGGGGGCAGAGTATTGCTGACCCAAGTGTTAGGACAGAGTAATTCCAAACATTGGGGTGGGTTACACTAATGCTGACTTGTGATGAGACAGAGAAATGCTGAACTTTGCGGTGGAGGCAGCACAGTGTGGACCTCTGTGGTGGGGCAGAGCAATACTGAACTTTGCAATGGGGGCAGCGCAGTGTGGACCTCTGCGGTGGGGCAGAGCAAAGTGGACCTCTGCGGTGGGGCAGAGCAAAGTGGACCTCTGCGGTGGGGCAGAGCAAAGTGGACCTCTGCGGTGGGGCAGAGCAAAGTGGACCTCTGCGGTGGGGCAGAGCAAAGTGGACCTCTGCGGTGGGGCAGAGTAATACTGAACCTCTGTGGTGGGGCAGAGCAATACAGAACTTTGCTGTGGGGGCAGCGCAGTGTGGACTTCTGTGATGGGGCAGAGTAAAGTGGACCTCTGTGGTGGGGGCAGAGCAATACAGAACTTTGCTGTGGGGGCAGCGCAGTGTGGACCTCTGTGGTGGAGCAGAGTAAAGTGGACCTCTGTGGTAAGGCAGAGTAATGTGGACCTCTGTGGTAGGGCAGAGTAATGTGGACCTCTGTGGTAGGGCAGAGTAATGTGGACCTCTGTGGTAGGGCAGAGTAATGTGGACCTCTGTGGTGGGGCAGAGCAATACTGAACTTTGCTGTGGGGCAGCGCAGTGTGGTCCTCTGTGGTGGGGCAGAGCCAGGGTGGATAAAAATCAATGATATTTTTAAAAAAATGTAAAAAAAAGAATCGGATTTTTTTTTATTTAAATCGGATTTTTTTTATTTAAATCGGATTTTTTTTAAATAAAATGCTTTTTGAGGAAAATATATTACCATCCAAAGGTTATTCCATCATGAAATAAAGATTAGTTTTTTTTTAATTATGTAGAATAAGGCTGTATATGTTTAATTTTTTTGGTAAATAAATTCCATGAATCCATTCACAATGTCATGCTCTTCCAGAGGTTTTTGTAAGATTATTGGGCAGTTTCTCTGCCTACAAGATATTATCACAGATTCTTGGTTTACTTTGCAGTTCTCAAAACTGAATTTGACTCAGCGGAGATCACATGCCTCTTCTTCACAGCAAAAATGTTATAACATGAACAGAGTTAAGAAAAAGACCTTCATCCTAACTTCTACAAACCTCTGAATACAGAATCAACCCCTTCAGTGCTAAGTTTCAAGAAGTTCAGTGAATAGAATAGAAACAATATTTTTCTGATTGTTTGGAGTGGAATAGATCTGCACAAGAAGAAAGTGAAACTAAGTGTGAGGAGGAAGGGGCTGACAGTCGAAGTTTCTTAAAAATATATATATTTTGTTTAGCCGAATTAGTTACCAAACATGGATGTTTAAGCAAATCACATATGCTGGAATGTTATTGTTTCAGCTGAATAAATCTATTTACATTGTTATTATTAAGGTAATGATTATCTTTCTCCTTCCTAAGTACAACAGAAAGTTGTCCAAATATGAATGATTAACCTATTAAACTGGGGATAAAAAAACTAATATGAAAAGTTGTTATTCTAAAAATCTTCATCTACTTGCATATTAAAGTTATACCAGCAAGAATTAGTCTTTATGTAGAAAACTAGGATTTAAATCAAGCCTTACTGACTAGTGATTTAAATCAAATCCACCCTGGCCAGAGCAATACTGAACTTTACAGTGGGGGCAATTTAGGGTGGGAGCTGAGTAGTCTTGACCTCCGCAATTCTGACCTATGTAGTTGGAGCAAAGTCCTGTGATCTGTGATGGGGCAAAGTAGTCCGGACCTCTGCTCTTGGTGGAGCAGAGTAATACTCAACTTTGGGGAAGGCAGAATAGTTTCGAACCTCTGTAATATTTACCTTTGTGATGGGAGCAAACTTATGCGGTCATCTTTGATGGGACAAAGTAATACTGACTTCTGTGGTGAGGCAGAGAAATACTAAACTGTGTGGTGGGGGCAGAGTAATGCGGACCATTGTGGTAGGTGACATACTAATGCAGATCTCTGCTGCCAAGGACAGGGTAATACTGACAATGACAGTGAAGGAACACTCACCTAATGTAGATCCACCAAAGGTAGACTCCATGGTGTAACTGTTGCTGATTCCGTGGCGCCACATTACAATACGTCCTGTGCCTTCTTTACTTTTCTGAACTTTAAACTTACAGCCCTTAAAGAAAAACTGCAGAGAAAGTATACTTTAAATGTTTGGGGATAAATAACCAGGGCATGGCTCTTGGTTCTTGTACCATATTCCCTGGTGCATTGGTATAAGTAAAAATTGTAATATTTTCTTTAACAATTTGAATTACCGTACCTTATCAGGAGCATTCTTGCTGAGCATTAAAGGGAAGACCCTCTCTTGAAGCCTGGACTCAGGATGACCCTTGTTGTTACAGCCATACATGAACACATTGTTCTTACGACTATGTCCATGGAAGTCACAATACAGAAGAACTTCTCGTTCTATTACAAGCCTGAAATGGAAGAACAAAATATGTCTTGCAATTCTAAATTGCATGTCTCTACTCTGATACATTTTTTCTGAGTCAAAGAAACACCTTCAACAAGGGACATTGATAAAAATTCAAGGAGGTCTGGTCAGCAAGTTTTTCTCCCAGCAGAGGTACAAACCTTATGTTTTTGTTATGACCAATATCCTTCAAGTCACAGTCTCTTCTTCACATTAAAGCCCCCTATCTTTACAGGTGTGGTTATGGCACCCCTTCTAAACTGGCGCCCAGGGCATACACCATAGCTACCATTCCATGGATATGCCACTGTGAATAGTATTAATTTTTGAAAAATGCATCACGGTCTGGATAGAACTGTCACTTGTTTCAGTCCACCATTTAATAATGCCTGTCCTAAACTGTCTAAATCAGTAGCATGAACAGGTGAAAAACATGCAACAATGAGAATGCAGTGAGTACCCTTCACTGAAAACTCAGTAGCCGAAGCGGTGTCCACATATTCTTGGCCATATAGAGTATGAATATTGGTCAGGTGTCCATACACTTTTGGACATATGGTATACCTTCTGTTAGATGGGCTCACCTTTTAATCATAGCTCTTGTGTGCCAAATGCATGGGTAGGAGTCCTTCAGCATACTTCGATAGTTCCTGTTTAGATCCCTCCCAGACAGAGAGCAGCGGTAGTTTCCAACAATTACCCCATCTGGATTTAGCATGGGAACCACTTTAAATATAAACATATCCCTGAGCAGCTGAGCATCAGGAGAATCACTAAGGATGAAGTCCAGGAAGCCTTTCATCATCCAGGAACCGTTTGTCTCCCCAGGATGTACTCTGGAGGTCACCACCACTGCCTTTTTACTAGTGGCTAACTCAGGGTTTACTGAAGGGGAAGTAATAGTCATCAAGTAGACTGTGTTACCGGCCAGACTCCTGCACAAGGTCCGGAGTTTGCAGTACTGAGATCTTCCCGGGTCACTAGTCCATCTTTGAATATCCCTATGCAAGTCAGAATATGTATACGGATAACAGTGTGCAAAGTAACAGGTATCATTGTCATGGGGAAACTCAAATGTCCAAGTCAAGCAGTACAAAGAGCCACCATCCTGTGGTTGCGAGTTACGATAGTACTTTATATCTCTCCCTTTCCTCTTCCACCCCTCTCCTGTGAGAGTGGCATTGTGTTCTGAATATATAAGAGGCTTCAAGCCGGCATTGTACAGGCTGTTGCTCTTCATCAGGTTAGTGATAATGAAACGGTAGGGGACACCTTTCTTTGTGTTCTTCACCTGGAAGTAGAACCATTGAGTGTGCTTGCTGGTATAGAGGTCCGTGCGTAGGGTCAGTTCGTACTTATATCTCCCTCTGAATAGATAACAGAAGATGTAAGCAGATCATGTATTACATACAAACATACCACATATTACCTAAAACAAAATAAACCTGGGCCACATTTTGCAGTGCCTTGCAAAAGTTAGACCACTGGACCAATTCTCCATAACAGATCAACAAATTATTTTTTATTCAAAACATTGATCCTCAAAATCAGTTTGAATTTGATAGTCAAAAACAATATTTTTGAGGCCACTTTTTGCAGTATCCAAAGTGGAACACAAGCAAAAAATGTTTACTTGTTCAACAGGAAAGGTTAGGCTCTGCGAACTGCAATAATAGTAATAATAATAAACTTTATTTTATATAATGGCTTTAAAAAGGTAGTTTCTCAAAGCTTTTTACAAGAAATACATAGGATAAAACAAAAGAAAAAAAAGGGACAGTTACGTGAAAGGTTGTCTAAAGAAAAACGTTTGTAGATTTGATTTGAATGAGTTTAGAGAAGATAACTCTCTGATGTTCTTTGGAATTGAATTCCAGAGTTTTAGGGCCTAGCAGGAGAAGGCTCTGTCACTCATCTAGTGCAGGTGAGTAGGGGGGGGGGGGGACACAGAAGACCACAATTTGAGAAGCAGATGGTATATAAAGTACACCTAAATCTTGGTGTACTTTATATACACTGCTCAAAAAAAATTAAAGGAACACTTTGAAAACACATCAGATCTCAATGGAGAAAAATATCATGCTGCATATCTATACTGATATGGACTGGGTAATGTGTTAGGAACGTAAGGATACCCCATTGTTTGATGGAAATGAAAATTGTCAACCTACAGAGGACTGAATTCAAAGACACGCTGAAAATGAAAGTGAAAAAATGATGCAGCAGGCTAGTCCATTTTGCTAAAATTTCATTGCAGCAACTCAGAACGGTCCTTAATAGTTTGTATGGCCCCCACGTCGGAGCATGCTCCTATCGAGACAACGGATTGAGTCCTGGGGTATTTCCTCCCAGATCTGGACCAGGGCATCACTGAGCTCCTGGACAGTCTGAGGTACAACCTGGCGGTGTCGGATGGACCGAAACATGATATCCCAGAGGTGTTCTATTAGATTTAAGTCTGGTGAGCGTGTGGACCATTCAATGGTATCAATTCCTTCATCCTCCAGGAACTGCCTGCATACTCGCACCACATGAGCAAGACATTATCGTGCTCCAGGAGGAACCCAGGACCCACGGCACCAGAGTAGGGTCTGACAATGGGTCCAAGGATTTCATCCCGATACCTAATGGCAGTCAGGGTGCCATTGTCTGGCCTGTAGAGGTCTGTGCGTCCCTCCATGGATATGCCTTCCCAGACCATCAATGACCCATCACCAAAATGGTCATGATGAATGATGTTACAGGTAGCATAACGTTCTTCACGGCTTCTCCAGACCCTTTCACGTCTGTCACATGTGCTCAGGGTGAACCTGCTCCAATCTGTGAAAAGCACAGGGTGCCAGTGGCGGACCTGCCAATTCTGGTGTTCAATGGCAAATGCCAATCAAGCTCTATAGAGCACAGGGCCCACTAGAGGACGTTGGGCCCTCAGGCCACCCTCATGAAGTCTGTTTCTGATTGTTTGGTCAGAGACATTCACACCACTGGCCTGCTGGTCATTTTGTAGGGCTCTGGCAATGCCCATACCATTATAAGCAGATATCTATATGACTTGCGAGCCAAGCTGTGTCTACTGAATAACCACCCTAAAATACAAATCTGGACAGAATATGTCCTAGATATTACTGGATCGCAAACACCCAACACATAACTACCACTGTGTACATAAATTATTTCACCATAGTGTGTTGCGCTCCTATTAATTAATATCTCTTCAATACTTCTAATCCCTTATTTATACCCAAAATTAATAATCATATATACAAATAATCTAATTTGCAAAAATATTTAAACACGTGTTCATACCATTAACCAAAAATTCATATATATAATAACTTAATATAAAAAAATATTCTAATAAAAACCTCAATAATTCATAATAATAATTCGTATCCGTGATTATAAAATTAATTATTATTAAACTAATTGTACACCATTAATGGTGAAAAAAATAAAAATGTCAAAAAAAATGTATAAATACTCATATATAATTATTTAATATTGTGCAAAAACAGTGTCCCATTAATCATAAAAAATAGTGACTCTGTGCTTTATTTAATCTTCAATCCGTGACTGTTTGTGAATCCTCCAATTAGTGTAGATGTAAGCTCACCTCCTTATCTGCCTACAATTAGGCTATATGCGCTTTTGGTTCACCTCCTTTGGAACTTGCTTAAGATTTCTCCTTTTTAGATTGTGGAATAAGGATATCCTTTATCACGGATTATCCCACCTGGGATTAATCCCTCCTCACGATGATACAAGCCCCTTATACTCTCCTCTCCATGCGTCTCTCCACATATAGGGAAAAATTACCAGACATAGTGTTTTATCCTTTTAAAATACTGCTTTATTCCTTCCAAGTAGTACACTCACATTTACTGCATTCAATATAAGGCAATTTGTGTGTAACGAATCCTCCGCCGACCGTTAAGTCATGCACCCGTCGTCTGTCAAACAATCCGACTATCTCCGAGTGACGTTGCAGCCCCACCCCTACGCGTTACGCCACTGGTCACGTGGCTTCATCAGGGGGTTTTGATAGGATAGTCACTCTCCCATTGCCAGCTTATATAGCTCGGCTCCGCCATTTTGTTGTATATCTACAGGGGGCAGCCATGTTTTTGGGGGCAATTTCGTTACATTAACACTTTTTCCAATTGATACATTTGTTGCACTTACTGCATTACTTCACCCGGAGAAATACATTGTAACATGACTCTGCGGCTTGCCAGGATTCAAACGATCTCCTTATATATTATGCTCACAATACAAATTTATTCTTTATAATTAAAAGCGATCATATTTTTAAATTATACAGACCATCATGCATAAAATATATACAGATATATGTGTATATAAACACATACCTCTGTATATATATATAAAATAAAAATTGTAATATATTAAAATATAAACAAATCAATAATTATACACCAATAATAAAAAATACATATAATACAAAAAAAAATGTTTTTTTTTAAATTTATAAAAAAATAAAAATCTCCTACAAAGAATATCTTTAATTAATATACCAAAAAAATTTTTTTGGACAAAAATAAAAAATCTCCCACATAAATTCATTAGTAGTTTGCACATCTATTATACAGTGAGGAACAGAAGTATTTGAACACCCTCCGATTTTGCAAGCTCTCCCACTTAGAAATCATGGAGGGGTCTGAAATTCACATTGTAGGTGCATTCCCACTCTGAGAGACAGAATTAAAAAAAAAATTCAGGAAATCACATTGTATGATTTTTAAAGAATTTATTTGTCTTGCACTGCTGAACATAAGTATTTGAACACCTGAGAAAATCAGTGTTAATATTTGGTACAGAAGCCTTTGTTTGCAATTACAGAGGTCAAACGTTTCCTGTAGTTCTTGAGCAGGTTTGCACACACTGCAACAGGGATTTTGGCCCTCTCCTCCACACAGATCTCCTCTAGATCTGTCAGGTTTCGGGGCTGTCGCTGAGCAACACGGAGTTTCAGCTCCCTCCAAAGATGTTCTATTGGAATTAGGTCTGGAGACTGGTTAGGCCACTCCAGAACCTTGATATGCTTCTTACGGAGCCACTCCTTGGTTATCCTGGCTGTGTGCTTCGGGTCGTTGTTATGTTGGAAGACCCACGACCCATCTTCAATGCTCTGACTGAGGGAAGGAGGTTGTTGCTCAAAATCTCACAATAAATGGCCCCATTCATCCTCTCCTTAATACAGTGCAGTCATCCTGTCCCCTTCGCAGAAAAGCACCCCCAAAGCATGATGTTACCACCCCCATGCTTCACAGTAGGGATGGTGTTCTTGGGATACAACTCATCCTTCTTTTTTCCTCCAAACACGACGAGTGAAGTTTAGACCAAAAAGTTCTACTTTGGTCTCATCTGACCACATGACTTTCTCCCATGCCTCCTCTGGATCATCCAGATGGACATTGGCAAACTTCAGACGGGCCTGGACATGTGATGACTTGAGCAGGTGAACCTTCCGTGCAATGCATGATTTGAAACCATGACGGCGTAGTGTCTACCGACAGTGACCTTTGAAACTGTGGTCCCAGCTCTCTTCATGTCATTGACCAGCTCCTCCCTTGTAGTTCTGGGCTGATTCCTCACCTTCCTTATAATCAAGTGATACCCCACGAGGTGAGATCTTGCATGGAGCCCCAGTCCGAGGGAGACTGACAGTCGTCTTTAGCCCCTTCAATTTTCTAACAATTGCTCCAATAGTTGATCTATTTTCACCAAGCTGCTTGGCAATTGCCCCGTAGCCCTTTCCAGCCTTGTGGAGGTCCACAATTTTGCCTCTGGTGTCTTTTGACAGCTCTTTGGTCTTTCCCATGGTAGTAGTTGGCGTCTGACTGACTGTGGGGTGGACAGGTGTCTTTAAAGAGCTCAGACAGGTGCTACTAAGTTAGATTAATAAGTGGAGTAGAGTGGACTTTTTAAGCACAGTAACAGGTCTTTTCCAGAATTCTTTTGTTTCCATTACAATTAAATGCAAGACAAATAAATTTTATGCCAATCATACACACTGATACCTGGCCTTTTTTTTGTAAATTCTGTCTCTCAGAGTGGGAATGTGAGAGGAATATTAGAGATCCAATTTCAGTGGGAGAGCAAAAACTCTTCTGTTCATTCTTTTGTTCCTCACAGATAATATAGACTTACCCATACCCATGATGAATGTGCTATTCTATGTCTATAAAATCGCATCAAAGCCCTCCACTATTATGTACTACCTTAATAAGGTATCACTATGAGATAGTGGAGGGGATTTATTAGCCATATTAATAAGAATCTATCAATGTATAACTGTGGTAAATGAGAGAAGAGTTCTCCCCACTGTTTATCTCTATACTTCTATATCACTTCATCAAGTACAAAACCTCCTACAGGGTATAGTGTGTAACTTGGCATAAAATATGTATTTGATTTAATTTAATGGTCAAAAACGTTCGGAAAAATTTTCGGTCCACCATTCATCATCCAGATATGGCCCTTTTGAAAGGAGATTTTTATTATTCTTTCTTTATAAATGCGTTTCTAAAAAAGCAACTGTAAAACCCTGTCCCATTATAAAAATTTTTTATTAAAGACAATTATTTATGAAGCCCGAAACCTATACAGATCTACAAAGAGAAGTCTCAAAGATCTGTAAAAGAACATATACACAATATCAGTAGGATAGGCAACAAATATCATTTATGCAGTACATTTTAAACTATATCACAATACAAGACACGTTTGACCTTCTGGGGTATTACTAAACATAACTTAATTGGAGGGGAGATTAATTTAGTGTGAAAAATAGAATCATTCTGGATCTATGAGTTGGGAAGTTTTAGCACCAGGGGTTTAAACAAAATTTGATTTATCTTGCTTCATTAGCAGTTTGCAAGAACAATATATGATGGTAATATCATATATGTAAAAATGGCCTACAAGGTTTTGTATCTTGATGTGGTGAATTTGAGAGGAGTTATTAGAGATAAACTGTTAGGGGAGAACTCTTCTCTCATTCACCAAAGATATACTTGATGAGATTGTATTAATATGTCTAATAGATCGCGTATCTTTATTGATACTATAATGAAGTGTAGTACATATGCAAAATCGGAGGGCTTTGATGCCGAGTTTTATAAGAATAGAAGTAGAACATTTGGATCATGGGTATGGGTAAGTTCTATATTTATATACTAGATGTGCAAACTACTAATGAATTTATGTGGGAGATTTTTTATTTTTGTCCAAAAAAATTTTTTTGGTATATTAAATTAAAGATTTTTTGTAGGAGATTTTTATTATTTTTTTATAAATTTAAAAAAAAAAAAAAAACATTTTTTTTTTGTATTATATATATTTTTTTTATTATTGGTGTATAATTATTGATTTGTATATTTTAATATATTAAATTTTTATATTTTATATATATACAGAGGTATGTGTTTATATACACATATATCTGTATATGTTTTATGCATGATGGTCTGTATAATTTAAAAATATGATCGCTTTTAATTATAAAGAATAAATTTGTATTGTGAGCATAATATATAAGGAGATCGTTTGAATCCTGGCAAGCCGCAGAGTCATGTTACAATGTATTTCTCCGGGTGAAGTAATGCAGTAAGTGCAACAAATGTATCAATTGGAAAAAGTGTTAATGTAACGAAATTGCCCCCAAAAACATGGCTGCCCCCTGTAGATATACAACAAAATGGCGGAGCCGAGCTATATAAGCCGGCAATGGGAGAGTGACTATCCTATCAAAACCCCCTGATGAAGCCACGTGACCAGTGGCGTAACGTGTAGGGGTGGGGCTGCAACGTCACTCGGAGATAGCCGGATTGTTTGACAGACGACGGGTGCATGACTCAACGGTCGGCGGAGGATTCGTTACACACAAATTGCCTTATATTGAATGCAGTAAATGTGAGTGTACTACTTGGAAGGAATAAAGCAGTATTTTAAAAGGATAAAACACTATGTCTGGTAATTTTTCCCTATATGTGGAGAGACGCATGGAGAGGAGAGTATAAGGGGCTTGTATCATCGTGAGGAGGAATTAATCCCAGGTGGGATAATCCGTGATAAAGGATATCCTTATTCCACAATCTAAAAAGGAGAAATCTTAAGCAAGTTCCAAAGGAGGTGAACCAAAAGCGCATATAGCCTAATTGTAGGCAGATAAGGAGGTGAGCTTACATCTGCACTAATTGGAGGATTCACAAACAGTCACGGATTGAAGATTAAATAAAGCACAGAGTCACTATTTTTATGATTAATGGGACACTGTTTTTGCACAATATTAAATAATTATATATGAGTATTTATACTTTTTTTTGACATTTTTATTTTTTCACCATTAATGGTGTACAATTGGTTTAATAATAATTAATTTTATAATCACGGATACAAATTATTATTATGAATTATTGAGGTTTTTTATTAGAATATTTTTTTTATATTAAGTTATTATTATATATGAATTTTTGGTTAATGGTATGAACACGTGTTTAAATATTTTTGCAAATTAGATTATTTGTATATATGATTATTAATTTTGGGTATAAATAAGGGATTAGAAGTATTGAAGAGATATTAATTAATAGGAGCGCAACACACTATGGTGAAATAATGCCCATACCATTCCTCCTTGCACAAAGGAGCAGATACTGGTCCTGCTGATGGGTTAAGGACCTTCTACGGTCCTGTCCAGCTCTCCTAGAGTAGCTGCCTGTCTCCTGGAATCTTCCCCATGCTCTTGTGACTGTGCTGAGAGACACAGCAAACCTTCTGTCAATGGCACACATTGATGTGCCATCCTGGAGGAGTTGGACTATCTGTGCAACCTCTGTAGGGTCCAGGTATGGTCTCATGCTACCAGTAGTGACACTGACCCTAGCCAAATGTAAAACTAGTGAAAAACAGTCAGAAAAGATGAGTAGGGAAAAAAATGTCAGTGGCCTCCACCTGTAAAACCGCTCCTGTTTTGGGGGTCGTCTCATTGTTGCCCATCTAGTAAACCTGTTGTTAATTTCATTAGCACCCAAAGCAGCTGAAACTGATTAACAACCTCCCTGCTACTTAACTGACCAGATCAATATTCCAGGAGTTTAACTGACTTGATGCTATACTCTGATTAAAAAGTGTTCCTTTAATTTTTTTTTGAGCCGTGTATTTATTCAAGATCTGTGCAATAATCTAGTGGGAATCGCTGCCTCTGTAAGGAGATTCCTGTAATAAAGACAAGTGCCTGTTGCTTTCTCTCCTTTTGCATGGTGACTGGTCTTGTATCCACCCCCTGTAGTATTCTTCAGGCAGCCTGTAGTGGGTGAACTCCCACAGCTCTGGTTGCTGCGTACAGGTTGTGTGCAGCACCTTGATATTGATAGGGTTTGGAGAATAAAGAAGGCAGGAGGATGAATACCCTGGGTGCAGCGATTGCTTATGAAGGGGGAACGTGCCACTGCAGACTGACAGAAGTAGTGACAGCAGCATCGCCACTCCTGACAGTTTAGCATTGGCAGTTGCGAGCCACATCTGGGAAGAAGGAAAGAGCCAGGAGGAGTTGCGGGTTATATTCTCCCCCTTCAGCTTCTGATCCTGCCAGGGCATCCCATAACAGAGGAATGCTGTTGGGACTGTGCAGGGTTTGCTTACCCACCCCCTATCTCCTCCCTAGACTGTTCTTGTCCCAGCAGCATTGAGAGTAGGGGGTGGGAAGAAAAAAAAACTACTACAAAGTCCTGATCTGACAGCCAGTGGCGTTGCTAATGCCGTCACCCATGGCATATGCCCTGCGTCTTCTCAGGAGTGCCCCGGATCCTCGACACTGCAAGCCCTCACCACTGTAGCCGCTGGCATTTTTCCATGCTACCTGCCAGTCAAAAGTATTGAAAGTCAGAGCTGAAGGATTTTCCCCTAGGCTCCCCATCAACTCTGAGGGAGAAAGAGAATTGTACTGGGGACACAAGGTGAGGGGGGAGTAACTAATGTCTGTGCTGGGGACAAGAAAACTTGTGCTAGAAGGAAGGGTTTGGAGGGGGGCAGGTAGGCAACTTTGCCCTGGGCACTATCCACAAAGTATATTTATACTCTTTGGGGTTTATTTACTAAAGCTGGAGAGTCCAAAATCAGACTCCCTTCTGCATAGAAACCAATCAGCTTCTAACCTCAGCTTGTTCAATGAAGCTTTGGCAATGAAACCTGGAAGCTGATTGGTTTCTATGCAGAAGGGAGTCTGATTTTGGACTCTCCAGCTTTAGTACATAAACCCCTTCGTGTCTACTGAGGAATATATCTGAATAAGGTTTTTGTGTCTGCAGTTCAGCTTAAAATCAGATATGGCCTACAAAATGCCCCAAAGCCAATAAAAGTAATAGCAAGCATCTTGTGTGGTTTACTGTTTGGTAGGTATTTTACAGTTAAATGTTTAGAATAGAGAAAAGGTTTACAAAAATAAATAATCTGCAGGACACTAAAAGATACCAACAACAGTATAAATTAATCTATACATTCAAATATGTCCATAATAAAGTCGTGTTTTCTAGTTCAAGAATACAGACCATTAAATGTATATGCTAACCCTATACATTGGACAAGTTTGCAGCGTTGGAAAGCTGCACGCTTCCCAGGAAATTTGCGCCTGTGATTGCATTTGCAGTAGTAGATGGGGTCACTCACACTTTGACAGCTTTTTGGAGATTGCCACTTTCAAATCGAGATTCAAACTGCAAGTCGTTGTTATTTGTCCCATCAACATTTGTACAAGGTGAATAAATGACACACCGACGTCCACCAGTTCGGGAACCAGTGAAATGAGACCCTTTGTATGCTGCAGAAGGAGTGATGATTAAAGGAGAAGGTTTTAGATATACAAATAAAATAATTATCATGTAAATAATCTGATCATAGTGTTAATGTTTAGATTGTGTTTTCTAAATGACTAGTTTGTGGTTTCATATATACTTAGAGGAAGCCATCTTTGCTTTTTGTAAGTGTAGTCTCTGCTTCTCAGTTTGTAATGTTGCACAGCGATTGAGCATATCAGCCAATTAGAATTTAGTCACAGTTACCTTTAGGATTGCAATGGAACAAACGTGGGGCTAAATGTGCAAAAAAGTTCCATAGTAGTCCCAAAGGTAGTTTTTGATGTTTAGGCTTTAGGTTTTCTATAAGTTCAGTTCCCATCACAGGAATGAGCTCTCGGATGCAGAGCTCAGAGCTAATACATCAGGGGAGGAAGAGAGCATGTGAGGGGGTTTGAATCAAAGAAAAAGCTCACTCGTGATGGTGGAGGTGAGAAGTAATGACTAGGCCTCACTTAGCAACGCCCTGGGAGTATTCCAGTCCGGCTTCATGAAGTACGTAAATGGCCAACACCTATAGCAAGGACATTATTCAACTTTAGTAAGAGACACACACTTTGTTTTTATCCACGGACGCCCCTTACCTGCATAGGCAGCTCTGTGGTGAAGGTGAACTATCCCTTTAATTTGCTCAATATGTTTCTTCCCTAGGATCATCAGTATCATGTAGTGCAGGGGTAGGCAAACTTAAAGAGGTGAAGATCTACCTGAACAACATGGGAGAAGTCATGTCCTCACACCTGATTTTATACCTATAATTGCCGTACTATGTGGGCAGCACAGTGGCTAAATGGTTAGCACTTCCGCCTGGCAGTACTAGGGTCGTTGGTTCAAATCCCAGGCACGGCACCACCTGCATGTTCTCCCTGTGCCTGCGTGGGTTTCCTCCGGGTACTCCGGTTTCCTCCCACAATCCAAAGACATGCTGGTAGGTTAAGTGGATCCTGTCTAAATTGTCCCTAGTATGTGTATGTATGAACGTGAGTTAGGGACCTTAGATTGTACACTCCTTGAGGGTTAGGGACTGATGTGAATGTACAATATATATGTAAAGCGCTGCATAAATTGACGGCGCTATATAAGTACCTGAAATAAATAAATAAATAAATACGTGTCGCAATTATGTGAATTGCACGGCAATCATTGATTTAAATCAGGTGGTGAGGAGGCAACATATCGCCTCCTCATCACCTGTCAAACACACTCTGAATGCTTTTCAGAGGAGCGCAGTATATAATAGAAGTCTATGGCTAAGTGCAGCAAACCTGCAGGAAAGCCGCCAGTACACTGCACTGCACCCGCGGTGTGGGTAAACCGCAGCACATCAGTGTGAAAGCAGCACTATACTATTATGCCCAGTGTATTGCTTCACACTGACCTGAAGAGATATTCTTTCCTGCTGCTGGCACCATTCTGAAGATCATTAGCTGGGATAAGAGGTGGAGTGAAGTTGGTATCACTTCGCTTGGGACAGGGACCAGCACTACAGAGGAGGCATCGGCTTATGTGGCTCTTGCTCCCTACTCCAACTTTACAAATAGTCCCTCTGCATTGCACTCTACCTGATGCTCTGGGATGGTGGGTCAGCAAGTCCAGACCATGATCTACCAGTAAACTGGCCGCGATCTACTGGTAGATCGTAATCTACAGGTTGCTGAACCCCGGTGTAGTGGTAGTAATGTAGTATTTTTCCTGAAATACCTTGATCAGAAAAAAACACCACATTATCACTACTAGATGGCACTTATGATTGTAAAAAATGTACATATTGAGTAAATTATGGCAATGATTACTTCTGCGAAACAAATTTTCAACACCCTAAAAGCATGTGTTTCAAACACAAGGTCCGTGAGCTGAATCTGGCCCACCAGGCCATTCATGTGGCCTTCACAACTTTCCTGCAGCTGTGGCACCCTCCTGGTCTCTGCCTCTACCTTGTCTCACCTACCAGCAGTAGAGAAGAGGACAGAACTCCCCTGCCAGATCCTGGGCTTTTCTGTGCAGCTGCGGAGAAGTTAGTCTCTGTCCCCTACTCCACTGCACTTTCTGCTTCCCCCAGCCAGCTTCAGCTTCTTCCCGGGCAGCAGCACAAGGGAAGGGGGTGCACTGTAATGTAAGGGAGGGTGGGGGACTCTTGATCTGTGATGGTGGTGGGGGGGAAGGCTCTTCACATCTGATGTAAGGGGGGTGTCAAATAGAAGTGATTAGCAGCAATCCTCCTTCCTCTCACACAAACAGAGATGTTGTGAGAGGAGTGGGAGTGTTTACTAGTTTTGATCGCTATGATTGGATCACAAGACTCAAGTCCACTCTGATTGGCTCTTTTCATTTTGCCTTTACTCTACGACATGGGTTTCAAACTGGCGGCCCTCCAGCTGTTGCCAAACTACAAGTTCCCATGAGGCATTGCAAGATTGACAGTTACAAGCATGACTCCCAAAGGCAGGGGCATGATGGGCCTTGTAGTTTGGCAACAGCTGGAGGGCCACCAGTTTGACACGCACAAAAAGGGGGGTTGTGAAAAGAAATTCACAGAGAAAGTGGCTACATTATGAACAGAGTGTGACAATCAGAAAAATTTCCAAAAATTATGCTTTATTACATATACAAGTTTGACATTTGGGCAATCGCCCTGGTTTACCATCACCTCAGTATGAGACAATACACACAGACCTAAAACCATATAAAATGACACCAAGACCGGTCCAAATACTTGTGCAACAAAGACAGTGACTACTAGAGCCTAAAGTCTAAAGGTTAAAATCACGTACTAAGGGGATGTTTAAATGTGGAAAATGTCAAATTTGTAAATATGTGGACCGCACAGATTCCTTTTATGACTCAGGAAATAATACTATAAAATTCAAAGTTCTTATAAATTGCTCCACAGTGAGAGTGCTATATAATTTGACCTGTGCATGTAAAAAGATGTATATTGGTAAGACCAAAAGACAACTTAAAGTACGAATAGGTGAACATCTTAGAGATATTAGATCAAATGATCCTGAAAGCAATCTTGCTCAACATTATGCTAAATATCATGGAGGTAAATTGGATGGCACAAAAGTGAAAGGTTTCTATGCATTGCACTTTCCTCAAAGGAGAGGTGATTTTGACAGAGAACTGCTAAAAAAGGAGAAATATTGGATATATAAACTTGATACAATGTACCCAAAGGGGTTAAATGTGGAATGTGATCTCCAAGTATTTTTGGATAAATAGATTTACATAGTTATGTATCCTTATGTTGCCATGCGTCAGTTGATCTATGGCATTTTTCTGTCTTCACTAATGGGTGAATTATATGTCAAAGAATGAAGGCAAACCTTTTGGCATCTGGGAAATATTGATGATCTGATGGTATAAACCTGAATATAGGTCTAAAAATGTAAAAGGACCGACTGTTGAGCTAACTATGCCCTTCCCTCTCAATAATAATGATACCATTAAATGGGTATTTGAAGTTTAGGTATCCTTGGCAACATAATCCACAGCGAGATTCGTTAATTAACATTGCCATCTTGTGGTGGCTTTGTGGTAGTTCATACTGTATTTTTAGGAACTGTTGATTTAATGAATAGGCCTGGTAATTCCTTCACTAAACATCGCCATCTCTTGGTGAAAGTATGGTAATTTTCCAATTGATTAGTATATACATTTATTTTTTTTTTTGTTTTTTTTGATTTGTGTATGCATTGTTGAAATTTTCAAGCCTTTCCTCTCTCTGATATTTCCAGTCACTTGTTCTTTTAATTGAATTTAATAATGACCAGCAGCTGTGCTAAGTATTTAGCCCCCTTTTTTTCTTCCAATGGGAATAACTGCAAGTTAATTTTTGCATAAATGGGTGGGTCTTAACCCACTATAAATAGAAAATTGGAATGCAGGAATCTCATTGGTCCTGACGAAGCTGAGTGAGATACGCCCATCGGCGAAACGCGTTGACGTCATACGTCAGATACGTCACTTCCGGTCATGCGCACTAGGTGGAACGCACGCTGACCTACAAGGAGGAAGCCATCTTCACATGCCACGAGGCAGGCTTAAGCAGCACAGGCGCCGAGAAGAGGCTGGAACCCGCGGTATATCGGCTGATGTCAGCGGTTGTTCCCTGGCCTCTCTGGCCTTGTAAGGCAGTACCTATGAAGGACATCTTTTCCTCTCCTACTATCCATTGCGCAGGTGGTGAGTGGACTGTTACAGGACACCAGTTATATGGTCCTCTGTGATCGATATGACCTATACATCTCATATAGAGTAAAGCTCTTCCAGTGACTTTCCACATATTGTTTGTTTCACTACAGGATGGGGACATCATGGTGCTTTTCATAGGAAACAGGATATACCACGTGTATCTCAACAGCAGAAGATTTATTGGGATTTGTCTTGTTTTCCTTACAGAAAGTGGTGTGTAGTCCACATATAGTGGTGAAGAAACCATTTCAAGCAGTGCTCTGCTATTTGCATCTATCCTTCCATCCTGGTAACAAATGGGGCTTATTCTCATTTAAGAGCCCTAAGGAAACAGTCGCTTATATTACAGATGAATGGGCCCCAACCACATGTGCCGGCATAGGAGTGTACTGCATTTTATACATGACATTTATTTTTTGTCTCTTATAGGCCTAGAGGCATGCTTCTCTTTTTGACGCATACTGTGCTTGCTGCACTGCATACATGTGATATTTTATATCTATAGTGTAATGTTTTGACACTCCCTGTTTGGGATATAACCATTTTGGTAGTAGCATATGTCTACATGTTTACAACATGTTACATGGTATACCTATGGTATAATTTTTGCATACACCTCCTGTGGGAAGTGTTCACCTGTGAGCCAGTGCTACAAAGACTTTAGGCTCTAGTAGTCACTGTCTTTGTTGCACAAGTATTTGGACCGGTCTTGGTGTCATTTTATATGGTTTTAGGTCTGTGTGTATTGTCTCATACTGAGGTGATGGTAAACCAGGGCGATTGCCTAAATGTCAAACTTGTATATGTAATAAAGCATAATTTTTGGAAATTTTTCTGATTGTCACACTCTGTTCATAATGTAGCCACTTTCTCTGTGAATTTCTTTTCACAACCCCCCCTTTTTGTGCATGTCTTTTTTGGCTACTGAATGGAGGCCATCTACTGGGTGATATGGTAATTTATTATACAACCTCTAAATAACTATCTTTAACCACCAGTTTGACACCCCTGCTCTACGCTGTCTAATGATAGTATGATCACAATGTGAGCAAGCCTGGCACATGCAGATCAGGTGGTGCCCTGGCTGGCTGCATAATTACAATGGCCAGTTTTGAGCTGGTTAACAAATAATGCCAGAAATGTTAACTATTCTGTGCTGGCAGGCTGGATTGAAAATGTTTATCATTCCTACTATTGGCAAGCCCCTGAACTTTAATGGTGGCCATATACGCCTAGATAGATATTCAATTTCTTTACCGATCTGATTTCTCCTGATAGGGACAATCGATCTTTAGTCGACAACCCATTTAACTGATATGTCAAACACGCGTAAATTTCAATAGTTAGAAGATACGATTGTAAGTTATCAATTGCTTCTGTGTTTTCACCATGCAATCTGTTAATCTCATCTAAATACGATCAAAGCATCTCAGTGTTGCCAGTCGATGCAGCATGAATGAATTTTTTTTGCCCTGGCTGATCGACTCTGTTTAATTGAATCTGATCTAAATTGAGTCTAAATTATTCAGAAGGGAAATTATGCCTACTGGATTATTTGCCAATTCAATAATTTACATCAAATTGCAAATCAATTAGATAACAAAATCAAAGAGCGTGTATGGTCACCATAATGCCGGCCATACTGTACATCGGTCGAATTCCGAACTAAGTTTCTTTAGAAAATCAGACATTTTGTAATCCAATGGTGCCACCATTGATTTCGAAATTCGACCAACCAAGCTTTCAATTTCACCTTCTGTTGCTACAGAAAATTATTTTCAAAGCCAAGAATTTTCTTTTCTTTCCAGGTCACAGCTCATGCTCATTTCTTTTTCGATTACATTTCTCACACGATTCTCCCATCATTGATTAGAAATTTGTTCGTATTTCACAAAATATCCAACATGGCCGATCACTCAAATTCGATGGTCACACGACAATCCTCCGTTTCTGTAACCCACTAATGGTGCGAAATTCAAACGAAAATTCTTAGAAAAGATTTTCGAAAGAAAATTCTAATCGGAATTCAACCCGTGTATGGCCGGCTTAAGACTACACATTTTTTAAAATATATTTATCTTGTTTAAAATTCAGTTGGGCTTTAAACATGACATTATTACCTGGTTTGATTTCATACACCACTTTGCCATCTCCTTGCCCAGAAACTGGTGGCATTGTTTCTTTGCCGGTATGGCTGTAGAAGGGCTCTGGATGGGCCGGATCCCAGTCTATATGAGGACAGAGGACAAACAGAGAATAAGCACACTTTTCAGTGGTATATTTCACAAGGAACAACCTACTAAAATGTAAAGGGGGCCGATAATGATAAACAATTTCGACTGGTTAGTAAGAGCAACAGCTTAATTCCCACAAATTCACTACTGTTGGAATTTATAAATGGTATTTACACCTCTACTGGGCGATCTCATTGCTTTATCATTCATGTTCAAAAAATGGATACAGAGTAAACCATCTTTTTCTCTGTGCCCTACCTACAGCACTGCCAGTGTCTCCTTAAAAAGTCAATAACGATTTCTGAACCTCCTAAAAGTTATCTGTAAAGGCTCACCCAGCTTCCTGAAACAAGGTCACAGCCCAAGTTTGGTTTAAAAAAAAAAAAAAAAAAAAAATCAACACAAGGGACGTACTACAGCTTCTATGAATGAAAAACGATCTTTGAATGGAGGAAGGGCGAATGGCTGAAAGCTCCACCTCCTCCATCAATAGATAGTTTTTCCATTCATAGAAGCTATATTATGGCTTCTGTGAATACAGAAGCTGGGTATAAAAGGTGGGCATAGTTGGCAATCCATCCTTCAGTTCTAACCCCCCACTGCAGCAGGAGTGGGGCAGGGAATCAGAGGAGGAAGATTTCACCGAAACCTGGAACCAGCAGCACAAAGGACACATCACATTGATGGTAAGTAATGTCCCTTGTGCCAATTTTTTAAGGCTTTACCCCTGGTTCACATATCTGCGGCTGTACGGGCTGTGTTTTGTGTGGGCACGAGAGCCCATTCATTTGAATGGAGTCCCGTGCCCCGGGACACGCAGGGAAGAGGTCCCTGCACATCTTCAGGAAACGCAGCACACACGGGAACCAAGGTTCCCAGTATGGTTGCGATTTCCAGTGCAGGCGGCATGCCATTAGAATTAATGGCACCCAGCCGCAGGTCCCGCATTTCTCTGTGTGGGAGGAATGATCTTGGTTCTATCATGGTCAATCAGCCACAAGTAGTAGATATAGCTATATCAGCTCATTCAGTTGCCAATACACACAATGTACCATAGACGAACATTGAAACAACTGCTGTGTTATTAAAGATAAAGGAGCCAGACCTGGCACTTGCCTGTACCTTGAACATCCTCACACTGGTGACTCTCACCCCAAGTACCTCCCCCTTTCAAAGATGCTATCAGTTTAAGGGCCCATTCACACCAACATCTGTGCAAGAATGCAGCTGTTGGTGTGTGGTAGAATGACAGCGGAGGCAAAGTGCAAATCCAGGTACGTTGCACTTTAAACTTTTTTTTTTAAATACAAAACATTAATGAAATGTGACATTTCATTAAAAGCCAAGTTCATCTTTCCAGAAAAAAATATATTCAAATATTTTTGCAGAAAAAAAAAATTGCATTTATTATTTTATCCTGCAGGACCCTGGAAAGCATTACACTTGTGATCAGTGGATGGGGGGGGGGGGGGGGGCAGTGTTAGGCTTCTACACACAAGCCTTGCAGCTTTCTGCCTATTCCTCTATGCATGCTGTCTGAAAGCTGCAGGGTTTGCACATTTAGAACTACAAGCCGTCAGCCGTTGTGGCTGACGGTACTTGTAGTTCATTCATTCACAGGAAACTGTGAATGAATGATGTGGGCAGAGCCCTGCATGGCTGTGTTCTTTTTTAAAAAGTAACCATGTGTGCAGAGGGAAGATCCCCACCCGCTGTCACATTAGTGGGGAAATTGGCAGAACTGGCAACAGGAGTTGGAACATGTTACAAGTTCAACCCTAAAAAAAAAACGGGTGGAACATGTAACATATTCCAAAAGGTGAACTTATCCTTTAAGTTCTACTGGCCACAGTGTGGTGTGAGGTGGTGGATTGCTTCGCACTGCGCTGTAAGAATGCTAAACAGAAGAGTGTTCATTTTTCACATCTTCCTCTGTAAATCCTTTATAAAAAAGACATAAAAAACACTCTAAATGTTTTCTTAATTTATAATTACCAATGTGAGTGATTTCTCCAGGAATGACCTCACATTCAGTAGGCCAGCGTGGCGGTTGCAAGAAGCCATTTTCCCTGAGAGTAGAGAACAGATCGCGGGGCTCCCTGAGACGTGGGATTATTTGTCCTTCCTGACGATCAAAAACAATCTGTCTGCTCTTAAATCCTGTGCTTTCTAGCAACAGCGAGTCTGAAAGACAAAAGAGAACTCAAACTGGTTCTTTGGTCAGATACAGTCTCCAGCAAACAATATCTAAATGAAAGGAAACCAGTACTGGGAAAATAGGGAGGCTGTCAGTGCTGACCAATCTTCCTGAAAAATGCTAGCTGCTTGGCTTTTACGTTGATCCAATAACTTTCTTGAAAAAGTCTGCAGATCATGAGGACATTTCTTGAGGGCAGAGCAATACAAGTTAAATATACTGGGCTAGAGGCCCTGTATGGAGATACAGTGCTGTGAAAAAGTATTTGGCCCCTTCCTGATTTTTTTTTTTTTTGCATATTTGTCACACTTAAATGATTCAGATCAAGATGACCTAAGTAAATACAAAATGCAGTTTTTAAATGATGATTTCATTTACTAAAGGAAAAAAGCTGTCCAAACCTGCCTGGCCCTATGTCAGAAAGTAATTGCACCCTAAACCTAATAACTGGTTGTGCCACCCTTGGCTGCAACAACTGAAATCAAGAATTGCAATAACTGGTAATGATTCTTTCACATCGCTGTGGAGGAATTTTGACCCACTCTTCTTTGCAGAGTTGTTATAATTCAGCCACTTTGGAGGGTTTTAGAGCATGAACAGCCCGTTTAAGATCATGCCACAGCATCTCAATGGGATTTAAGTTTGGACTTTGACTAGGCCACTCCAAAACCTTAAACTTGTTTTTTTTTTTTTTAGCCATTCAGAGGTGGACTAGCTGGTTTGTTTCGGATAATTTTCCTGCTGCATAACCCAAGTGCGCTTGAGGTCAGGAACTCATGGCCAGGCATTCTCCTTCAGGATTTTCTGGTAGAGCACATAATTCATGGTTCCATCAATTGCTGCAAGTCATCCAGGCCCTGAAGCTGCAAAGCAACCCCAGACCATCATACTACCACCACCACGTTTGACTGTTGGTATGATGCTCTTTTTATGAAATGCTGTGTTGGTTTTACGACAGATGTAACATGATGCACACTTTCCACAAAGTTCAACTTTTGTCCCATCAGTCCACAGAATATTTGCCCAAAAGTCTTGGGGATAATCAAGATGTTTTTTGGCAAAAGGGAGTCAATCCTTGTGTGTTCTTTTTAGTCAGTAGTGGCTTTTGCCTTGGAACTCTCCTATGAATGCCATTTTTGCCCAGTCTCCTTCTTATTGTTGAATCATGAACACTGACCTTAACTGATGTAAGTGAGGCCTGCAGTTCATTAGATGTTGTTCTGGGCTCTTTTATGACCTCATGGATGAGTTATCGTTGTGCTCTTGGAGTAAATATTGGTAGGCTGGCCACTCCTGGGAAGGTTCATCACTGTTCCAAGTTTTCTCCATTTGTGGATATTGGCTCTAACCGTAGTTTGCTGGAGTCCCAAAACCTTAGTATGGCTTTGTAACCCTTTCAAGACTGACACGTCAATTACTTTGTTTCTTATCTGTTCTTGAATTTCTTTAGATCGTAGCATGAAGTGTTGCTTTTGGAAACATTTTAGTATGCTTCACTTTGTCAGACAGCTTCTATTTAAGTGATTTCTTGATTCAACAAGTCTGGCAGTAATCAGGCCTGGGTGTGGCAAGTTAAATTTAACTCAACTCTCCAAAAAAATGTGCTAAATCATGAATGAACTGTGATTGACCAAAAGAGGAGGCAATTACATTTTCACATAGGGCCAGGCAGGTTTGAACAGCTTTTAGCCCTTAATAAATGAAATCATCATTTAAAAACTGTATATTGTATTTATTCGTTTGATGATCTGATTCATTTAAGTGTGACAAATATATAAAAAACAAAAAAATCAGGAGGGGGGCAAATCATTTTTCACAGCACTGTACTCTCACATTCAGATTTTAGTCAGAGATGGATTTGCAGTCCGTGACATCTGCAGGGCAATATATAGCTATCTCTATTTAAACCTGCAATCACAGCGAATAGTGGAGACTTCCTTGCAGCCTCGAGATGTTAGGTTACCAAATTCAGAGAGCTGTAAATGAATTAAGTGCTGCAAGCATTAAAAACAAGTTAAATGTGTTGTGCTCATTTGTGAAAGGAACCTGAATGATGAACATTATTTGGGATAATGCCATGTTATTTTATTTAAAGTGTTTCTAAAGGCAGAAGGTATTTTTAACTCAATGCATTCTATGCATTGAGGTATAAAAACATTCTGCAAACAGCCCCCCCAGCCTCCCCTTATACTTACCTGAACCTAACCTTGATCCAGTGATACGCATGAGAGCAGTGGCTCTCTTGGCTCTGTCTCTCTTCACTGGACAAAGAGGCAGCTGTGTCAATCACAGCCAGTGGAGAGAGTCGGGTGGGGGAACCATTGCACAGAGCAGGTAAGTATGACAGGTTTATTTTTTTTAAATAAAAATTTATTTTCACTTGTCAACAGTCATCATGTTCAGTTCAGAAAGTACTTTATCTTTTACAATACAACTCTTACAATCCACCATAGCATGTAATGTATAATCCAGGTTCCACAGCACAAATCTTTCACCATGGCCACCAATAACTGTGACTTTGCAGAACACTGTTGAGTGTATTTATAAAAAAAAAAAAAAAAAAAAGTGCATAGCCTTTCATCCATCAATACTGCATGTAAATTTGTTTGGACAAATGGGGCAAAATAAAATGTTCTTAGGCTATATTCTCTGCAGTTCGAATTCAACAAAATTTCAACAATTCAAATGTGAATGGGGAAAATACCACATTATGGCCAGTAGATGTTGCTGAATATCATAGGAAAAAATTATGCTCTTTAGTTCAATCCGGTGGTCATAGTGCAGTTATTTCACCATACACACTTTTTTTTCAATAAATAACATTTGATCTGCAGAGGACATTTAAAAGTTTCCCCATTCACATAGAATTCATTCTCATGCAAATTTGATGCATGAATATCTACGTAAAGTTTTTCAAAAACACATCTCTTTTGTGTGTTGCCCTTTCTTTGACCCACAGGAAACTGTCCCTACCACGGAAAGTCGAAATTCCCAGTCCTCTGGATTTTTGCAGGACTTACAAATCATCAGTTTCTTTTGGTCATAGGAGAATCTGTCTGAATCGCTGTCTGTAGGGGTTTGCTCCTGCCTTCTGTTTCTTCGGGCTGGACGTAATAAAATCTCCTCTTCTCTTGGTGTATTTTCTGAAAGAAAATTATCTAAAATTGTTGCTGTATATAAAGTTTCTAGAGCTGCAAATATGCATAATTGTGTTACAGCTTAGCAACCAATCCAAACTTATCATTTAGGGCTATTTCACACCATGGTGGAGAGATGTCAATTTTTCTGCCACGCGTTCTGCAAGAACACAACAAAATCAATTGTTCTCTATGTGGCCTGTTCACACCACAACACTAGCATCACCTGTGGATTGTTTTCTGCACAGGAATCTGCAACTTGTATAAAACTCATTGAAGCACGCACAAAATGTAATAAACTGATGTCTCTGCAAGTGAAATCTGCTCATCAGTTTCCATCAGTTTTTTTCTGCACATATAGTGTGAATGAGGTCTTACTGATTTGCCAAATGTAAAGTAAAATATTTTGTACATACATACTAAAATGCTCCTAAAACCCCAAGACATTATATATTTTCTGAAAGCAGACTCTAGAAAATAAATGGCGGTACTTACAATTATGTCACACACATTTTTGTGCGGTTTATCAAATCTATATTTTCAATAAAAACACACTCAAATTAATTTTAGCACAAAACAAACACAACATAAACCCACATTTGTGGTAAAATGTAAAAGTATGAGTAAATGGATACCAATAAATCGAGCCTCAAAACTTGACTCCCGTGAAGCAGCAAAAAAAAATGCAGTGCTCAAAATTATCCACAGACGACATTTTAAAAGAATTTACAGCTCATCAATTTAGAGTTAACAGTGGATGACAACCCTAGAATTTGTGTTCTTACTTTGGGGTGCACAGCGATACCCAGTGTGTGTGGCACAACTGTTGTTTTTGCATTTGTGTACATCCAAATCGTACATGTTTGTGTTCTCATGTACATGCATTTTGTTTTTTTTGGGGGGTTTTTTACCTTTTAAAATTTGTCAAAACAATTTTGACCTTTTTTTTTTTTTTACTAAACTTTATTGCCATAATAAGGAGGGCGACAAGCTATCTACAGTATGTGATAGTATAGTACAGGTTAGAGGTTCTTGTTAGATAGACATCAGGAGTCTACTCTGTTTGAGCTCATTAACCACTTGCCGTCCGCCTGCTGTTTATAAAACGGCCGGACGGTGGCACTCCAGGGGCGGGTTGCCGTTCATAAACGGCACCCGCCATTTCTAGCTGTGCGCGCTCCCTGGGAGTACGCAGCACCGCGATCTGGACACAGTGAAGCACCGATCGTCGGACGGGACCTCTGTACGAGGTCCCGATCATGTGATCACTGATTGGCCAATCAGTGATCACACGCAAAAGTAGTAAGCAAGATGTTACTTGTGACATCATTGCTTACTACGTGTGAAATCTGTGAATGATCACAGAGGTCACATGGTACAAGGCTATTCACAACAGCCTTGTACCATGTGACAAGCTGTGACCAATCACAGCTCACACAGTAGTTCTCAATGGCTGCAAGAATGCAGACAGAGAGAAAGAGAAATGATTGCTTTTACATCCTATATGGGTGTAAAAGCAATCACTGTAAAAAAGAAAAAAAAAAAAAAAAAAATTAAATAATAATATAAAAAAATAAAATAAAAATGTAAAAAAAAATGTTTAAAAATTATAATTTTTGGTTATAAACTAATTTAGCTTATTTTTTTTTACTAAAAAGATAATGGAATACATTTCAGCCAAGATTTATGATGAAAGATTATTTATTTGCAAAATCTTATAAGAAAAAACACTTTTTTTTCAAAATTTTTGGACTTTCATTTACATAGCAAAAAAAGTAAAAATCCCAGCAGTGAATAAATACCACCAAAATAAAGCTTTATCTGTCTCAAAAAAATGGTAAAATAATTCTTATGGGTACAGTGTTGCATGACCGCGCAATTATCATTCAAAGTATGATAGCACTGAAAGCTGAAAATTGCCCTGGACAGGAAGGGGGTAAAAGTGTCCGGACTGGAAGTAATTAAAGAATAATTCTAAGCATTGGTATTTTATACATAGTTATGTTGGTCCATCTTGGTCCAATGTAACTGTCTATATACCATACCTGGCTGATGCCCCTGGAAGCTAGATATCCACTTGCTCCCAGGTCCAGCACCAAGTGACTGCACTGCTGCTTATTGAACACAGGAGGTGGCTGCTTGGCATGGTCACCATTCAGAGAATGATTTACGTCTTCTAAATTAATGCAAAGCATTCTTTGATTGGATGAGGGTGTGATGTCACTGCCCCACTTCCCCACCTCATCAGCTCAATTAGAGAATGCTTTGCATTCATTCAGAAAATGCAAAGCATTCTCTGAATGGAGACCATGCCAATTAGCCAACCTCCTATGTTCACTAAGTCAGTGTTTCTCAACTTTTTCTAGTCAAGGCACCCTTTAAAATGATGCACAATCTTGAGGCACCTTATTCTAAAATGTAAAAAAAAATAATTAACAGTTTTAGATAACGCAGCAACATCTACACATGTAGGACATCCAACTTTATGATCAATCTCAGTTTATTAAAGCTTTTCAGAAACTGTACCAAAAAAAAAAAAAAAGTCAAATTGGCACATAAACAATACAATGGTAGGGAATACAACAACAAAAAGACTAAGGGAGGGCGAGGGAAGGGGGGGGGAGAAGAAGGGTAGGCAATAGAACATGAGGCAGTAATAAACAATAACAGTCTGGCACTGTGTAGCTCCAATTGCAGACCCAAGGGTAAAGTGCAAATAGTTTTGTTGTACAAATAATATCAAGCCCCCGAAGGGTACAGATAATAAAGACTAAAAGAACCACAATAAAAAAGCACAAACCCTAAGGGACGATCTACCATACAGAACAATTGAGATCAGCCTGAAAAAAGGAAAGAAGCAATGGAACCCATCACAGCAATCCACACCCCTCCCTTTCCAAAAAACAAGCGCCCAAAAAAATGAAAATAGAAGGGGTGAAAAAAAAAGGGGGGGGGGGGAGAGAAGAATAGGGGAGGGGGGAAAAAGAAGGGGAAAGAAGAGAAAAGGAAAACAAAGAAAAATAGATCCGACTGAGGAAAAGCACCTAGTAAGGTAACAAACCAACATGTACCAGAAAGAGAGAAAAAGGACAATTCCCGCTCAAGTAGCCATGAGAGTGCAGAGGGCTCACTATACATCGGACACCCAGCTTTAGAGGTGATTTATTCTTCCAAAGAAAATACACCATTGCACACTGGTACTGGCTAATGTTTCTCTTCTGCCTCAGTTTTGCTCACTCACTCAGCTAATGTGACTCCAGTGCTAATAGACAGGGGCAGGGGAGAGCAAACAAGGATGATATTCAGGCACCAGACGTCCTCCCTTTCAACCAATGACTTCAAATGGTTCTAAAGGCTTAAAGTTTTTTACCTTCATGCATTCTATGCATGAAGGTAAAAAACCTTCTGTGTGCAGCATCCCCCCCAGCCCCCCTTTTACTCACCTAAGGCCCCTCTCGACCCAGCGATGTGCATGGAGTCTCAGCTATTCCGGGACTCTCTCTTCTCATTGGCTGAGACAGAAGTGGGAGCCATTGGCTTCCACTGCTGTCAATCACAGCCAGCAAGCCAATGAGAAGAGAGAGGGGGCGGGCTGAGCCACAGCTCTGTGTGTGAATGGACACACAGAGCAGCGGGTGCCCCCATAGCAAGCTGCTTGCTGTGGGGGCACCCAACAGGAAGGAGGGGCCAGGAAAGCCTGTGGGGGACTAGAGAAGAGGAGGTTCCGGGCTACTTTTTGCAAAACCACTACACACAGCAGGTAAGTATAGACATGTTTGTTATTTAAAAAAAGAAAAAGAAATAAATAAAGCCTCTAGAAAAACTTTCATTGATTGTTAGGATGCCAGTAGCTGGAAGGTTGTAATGGTGCACAATGAAAACCTGTGGCTTAGTACAGGTAGGCATACAATTCTTGGGCAATTTTAGGCATTTTGTCAAGGCACCCCTGAAGAATCTTGAAGGCACCCTAGTTGAATAAAGCTGCAGTAAGCAGAAGTGCAGCTGCTTGTGGGACCTGGAAGTGGAGATCACCAAGAGTAGCAGTGTCTACTTCAGTGATCTGCGTCTTCAAGGGGCATCGGCCAGGTATGGTATATGCACGTCCAGCATGTAAACAGGTTTGAAAAGCTGGAAATCACTTCTACTACATACCTGGTAGCACATAGGTAAACAAACTCCGGGCTGATATAGCAACTGGGAGTTTTCTCAAATTTTGGTTCTTCCCCATAGCAATTGTTTCAGTGGTGGGTTAAAAGATCAGTCCATTCAAAAATGATGGGAAGTGTCATTCGGTAGCTTCCTATGGGTCCTGTCACACGGGGAGGACCCGCTTAGCAGATCTGCTTGCTCAGTGGAGGATCTCCCCGCTGAGCAAGCGGATGACAGCTCTATGTCTGCTCTGCTGCTGCACAGCAGACACAGAGCTGCTCGTTCTCCTCAATAGGCGGTCGGATGAAAACAGACTGCCTCTCTGATTTCTTTTACAATGGATTTTATTATAGAAGAGACAACATCAGAGTAGCAGTCAGAAACAAAAGCACTGACCAACAAAAAATAAAACGTACAAGTTTTCTGATGAATAGTACAATCAATGCACTGAAGTAGTACACAAGCGTTGCATATGAAGAGATAAAACAAAGCATCGCAATTTGCAAAAATGGCGGGCAATTAAAGACCAAGGAATTAATACACAATGATCAAAGATTAGCACTCGATCCACCTACAAAAGGCAGGAAAGGTGGAACACAGAGCCTCACCAGATGCACACCGGCATTCCACATCCAGGACTCCCGAGGAAGTCCAACAGATAGATACAATATTACTGGTGCAGATCTTTTATATAAAAAAAGAAAAAAGGTTCCAATCATCGCAAATATCCTGAAGACAAACAGAACAGAGAAGAGGAAGGGAAAGAAAGGAATGAAGAAAGGACGGAAAAACAGACAACAAACAAAGAAAGGGTTCCAGGGGAAAAATTCTCATATCCACAAAAGGGTCTGATCAAA